TATCCTAACCCTAACCCGTACCTCTATCCCCCCACAGCTCCTTCTGTGGTCCCTCTACCTCTATCTCTATCTCACCACTGACTCTGATCAGTGTTTCTCCTCTGTATAGCTTATTGTCATAGTGATGAGAAATGTAATATCGTGTCTACTCTGTAAGTCGCTTTGGATAAAAGCGTCTGCCAAATGCATAAACATAAACATAAACATGGGAGGGAAATATCACGTCTTCCAGGCTGGATCTGAGGGGCTACTCACGCTGGCAGCCCTGGGGGTCTTCCGCGCTCAGGCCGAAGAAGCCGGTTTTGCATTTGTCGCACCGCGGCCCTTCAACGTTGGCTTTGCAGCGACACTGACCGGCCATCTGGCCCAGGGAGAGGTCGGTGTGGCCGTCACACAGGCCTCCGTTCTGCGAGCCGTCCGGGTCACAGTCACAGGCTGATGGGGCGGAAAAACGAGAGCTGAGCTTCAATCCTGGAGTTTTTTTTTGTACGTTTTAAAGAAGCCGAGGATCATCTACAAAGTACGACCCAAAAAAAGATCTACAAGATAAATCCACCTCTGGTTTAAGTTTCTACTCACACAGAAAATCTGCTTTTTTTCTTATTTTTTTTTTTAGCTTTCCAAGAGGTTCTCTTGGTCTATATTTTTGTGCTTAGCTCTTTTCCGATGATTCTTTAAAAATTGGGCCTTAAACCTCTGTTTTTTCTGCATATCTAATCACAAATAAAATATTTTACATCCAATCCATTTGCATTTCATAAGAATACAGTATTTTCAGTTGACAAAAATGTGACAATACAAAAAGGGTGTAATTACTATGTTAAGCCTGTAATGCCAAATGTATCATATTTGATACATACGGTTTCTGAAATGTTTTGCGTCTGAAACCTTTTGCATAATTTAATGGTAAAAACTTTGCTCAAAACCCTATTGTACACAATCAGATACACCTGATAACAGGGGACAGAAGATTACACAAAAAATAATCTCGACTTATTGCATAGAAATAAATTATTGATATAAAAAATGTATTTTTGTTTTTTCTTTTTACATATTTCTTTAAAAGGCCAAATAAAGACTGAAAAAAAAAAGAAGTAATTTCCTGTTTTGTTTCATTCTTCGATCAGGCTTTAAAGGGTTAAGGTAATCCTTGGCAAACCTGTCAAATGAAAACAATAAGTCGTTTTTTCCTCAT